AGTGGGATTTTCTTTTGGGTAACAGGGTGGGTTCTCTTGATTATTAGCCATTTGACTCTACTCTATAAGAAAATAGCCTGAAGCTTCACGAGACTTAATAGCCTGAAGCTTCACGGGACTTCAAGTCCCGTGAAGCTTTGTCGCTCCTAATCATCTTGTCTATGGGGGCTTAAACTTCACGGGACTTCAAGTCCCGTAAAGCTTTTTAAGTTTATCGCTAAATTCGATCTAGTTTTAGCTAGTTAGCTAAAACTGGGTCGAATTTGACAAATATTTTCAAAATAGATATTTTTTACAAATAAGTTTTTAAACGGGTCTGTTTTGAAAATTTATCCTAAAATTTTGTAGGACAGATTTTCAAAACCAACCCCTTTTAACATCTAATCCCAAAAACCGACCTCTTTTACACTTAATTTCAAAAACCGACCTGGTTTCAGCCATGACGCTGAAACTAGTTCGGTTTTTGAAAAAAAATTCTGAAACTTCACGGGAGTTGAACTCCCGTGAAGTTTAGCAAAATTTTAACATCTGCTAAAACTTCACGAAAGTTCAACTCCCGTAAAGTTTTATTGGCAGATTGTTAAAAATCTGCTAAAACTTCACGGGAGTTCAACTCCCGTGAAGTTTTATTGGTTAAACAAACTTCACGGGAGTTCAACTCCTATAAAGTTTGTAACATGCCAAAAAACTCCACGGGAGTTGAACTCCTGTGGAGTTTCAGTCTATTTTCTAAAGAGCCAACTCTCAAAAAATTTTTGACTGCAACTCCATGGGAGTTCAACTCCCGTGGAGTTATAGACGCCTATTTAAGGCCCAGCCCCGTGAGTATTATACGGCAAGGGGCGTTCAGTCGAATTGTTTATTGAAAAACATCATAGGAATTTGGGCAAATTGTTGAATAACAACAGAATGTCTCCCATATGTTGGAGGACCTTGAAGTTGACTCTGTCGACTTTTTATCTCTGCAACAATGTGAAAGTTGGACACAATAACAATACATGAGTGGTCCTTCGATGGTGGGCACTTCAAATGCTTTCGATACTAACACGGTCCATCAAGCAGATAATACAAGTGCCGAATCCAAGAGTGATGATGAAGAGGACGGTTTACAAATTAATAGCATGACGATGATAGATCGTGATGAAGGGGACAACCAACCCATTGACGGATGTTATACTAATAATGAGTATGTTGTCTTAGAGGATCCGCCACCCGATAAACTCTAAGGAGAAGAATGGATTGATAACTCCATTATGAAAAGTGTTCCTATTTGTACTAATAACGGTGATGCTACATAGGGCGAGGACTTCTCATTCATGAAGGGGGATCTTTTTGAAAGTAAGGAGAAATTGATTCATGCGCTTCGCTCGTATGCCATTTCCAAAAATGTCAAGTTTAGGCCAACAAAAAATAACACAACAAGCTATAATATGGTTAGTTTTTATCGCAAAGATGGTGAAGACGAAGATAATGATAGACACCATGACGACAATGTGAAATATCCTTGTAAGCTTAATTCACGTTTGGGTGTAAGAGTAGGTGGGCATTTCAAAATCACGACATACAACAGACTCCACACATGTAGCAATCCTCAATTGAAGATGAATAACAAGCATGCGTCCTCTTCTTTTATATATCGATTGATTTTACCACATCTAAGGGATGATCTTGATCTAAGGACAAAAGAATTCGTCTTTTAGTGCATAAAGCGACAAACTTTAGATGTAACATACAACAAGTGTTGGAATGCTAGGAGGAAGGCAATAATAAAAATATTCAGGGATTGAGACAAATCTTATGAGATCTTACCACATTATCTTGAAGCACTCAAAAGAGAAAATCATGGGATTGTCTATGAAGTTTCATCAGACCCTGTTGATGGTAGAGAACGACGGTTCACAGGTGTATTTTAGGAATTTGGCCCTTGTATTGAGGGTTTCTAATATTGTCACCCTCTTCCTAGCATTGATGGCACCCACTTATACGGTAAGTACAAAGGTGTTTTGCTTGTTACAACCGGAGTTGACGCGGATGGTGGGTTATTTCCTTTGGCATTTGCAGTGATTGATGTTGAAAACATAGAGAATTGGGCGTGGTTTTTTGCATGCATTAGATATCATATCCCTAGTGTAGGGGCGAGGCCGATTACATTCATATCTGATAGGATGAAAGGAATTCTAAGAGCACTCCAACGTTATTTCCCGTCACCACATGCACATAGTTATTGCCTGTGACATATTAGGGACAACTTCAAGAAGAAGTATGGAAACGGTCAGATTCAAGATCTTCTTTAGCAAGCCAGTTGTGCAATAGAAAAATTAGTTTATGATCAAATACGAGAGAGGATTAGGTTCATTTCATGAGCTGCACATGATTGGATCAAAACTAGTTTGGAACCACACAATGTTGATAAGTGGGCTTTATGTGAAGATGGCGGGAGACGGTTCTGTATGATGACTACGAACGCTTCTGAGAGTTTCAATGGTATGCTCAGGGGAGCACGCGGTATGCCAATACAGTCACTAGTGTTCGCGGGAAAAACCGTTGCTTTCTTCATTAATGATTCCATTGTACACTCTTGTAATAGTCTATCGATTACAAAGATCCGGTCTTTTTATAAGATCCGGTTACAACGAAAATCAAATTGAAAAGAAATGAAAATTACAACTTTGTTTCCTTGTTTGTCGAACGAATCGCGAGCTCCTGTTTTGCGGTCGCTCGCTTTGTGGGTTCTTTGCCTGCGCCGGGGTTGTTTGCCGTGGACCACCGCGAGATCTAGATCCGGTCGGATTTACGCAGTACAACGGGTATTATTTCACCAAGGAAATAATAGCCGGGGAGGATTATTTCACCAAGGAAACAATCGTCCAAGTCTCGGGATCTAAGACCAAGCTTAGATCCGGAGTGTAGCCTGCGTAGATCTGAGATCCGGTCCTCTCGAACACCTGCCTTATTTGACGTTGATGATCGCCGAGCACCAGATCTGGATGAGCAAGTCCTTGATGTCCCAAAGCTTGAATCTTGTTAAGTTCTGAGTCTCCAATCCAGCAGGGCTTCGCCTCTCCAAATTTTCCAACCCTTCAAATGAACACTCAATGGGCCTATTTATAGGCTCTCAAGACTGTGCCCGCGCACAGAGAAATGTCAGCCACCCATAGGTGGCCGGCACTGTGCCGAGCCACCCATGGGTGGCTCGGCCACCGAGCCACCCATGGGTGGTTCGGCTTTGGCCGAGCCACCTATGGGTGGCTCGGCTTAAGCCGAGCCCCCTTAGGTGTGGGTTTTCCGAGTTTTTGAGTTGTGTCCGTTTTCCGGTTTTGTCCGTGATTCGGTTGATTGAGACTCTGATTGGTTGATCTGATTTGGCAGTAAGTCGGATTCCTGATTTGGCAGTAAATCCGCTTCTGAGTTCGAGTCCGAAACTGATCTTAATTCGATCGCGATTCGTCCGAGTCCGCTCTCGGTTGGATGACTCGTTGACTCTTCGAACACTTGGCTTGATCCCGCACGCGAATGGACGTATTCCGTTGCTTGCGTGCGATTAGTCAATCTCGTCGCCTCGTTGGTTTGTCGGTTTGTGCCGAGCTATGCTAGGGGACCTATAAGCAATTTTATATGCCTACAGATACCCCCTCCAAAGTATTTCAGTCTCGTTCTTTTATAGAAGAGTCTGGAATACTTTGGATATGCTTGTCCCAACCTTCAGTCGGTGTAATGGGACCTTGGAATGACTTCCGTTCTTGATTCCTTCAATTCTCCAGGCTATTCGGTGCTTTGTCGAATGTCTGAAAGAGTTTCGGTGCTGCATTTATTGTCTGACCGTTGTCGGAAATTCGAACTTGAAGTCAATTCCTGGTTTTCTGATTTTTAGCTCGTGCTTGTTGGTTGAACACAGAACTGACCCTCGACTGTCGGCGTTGAGTCTTTATTTGCGACGCGTTGTCCGGCGTAGTGTTGTTGAGTTATCCTTAAGAATGAAAATATTCTCCAGGAACTTCTCAACCATTGTTCGCGTGGAAAACTGTAGCTTTCTTCATTAATGAGATAATTGTCATCTTGGATTACAAAGATCCGGTCTTTTATAGATTCCGGTTACAACTAAATCAAATTGAAAAGAAATGAAAATTACAACTTTGTTTCCTTGTTTGTCGAACGAATCACGAGCTCCTGTTTTGCGGTCGCTCGCTTTGTGGGTTCTTTGCCTGCGCCGGGGTTGTTTGCCGTGGACCACAGCGTGATCTAGATCCGGTCGGAGCTACGCAGTACAACGGGTATTATTTCACCAAGGAAATAATAGCCGGGGAGGATTGTTTCACCAAGGAAACAATCGTCCAAGTCTCGGGATCTAAGACCAAGCTTAGATCCGGAGTGTAGCAACGTAGATCTGAGATCCGATCCTCTCGAACACCTGCCTTATTTGACGTTGATGATCGCCGAGCACCAGATCTGAAGGAGTGAGTCCCCGAAGTCCCAAAGTTTCAATCTTTTCAGAGCTTCGCCTCCAAAATTTCCAACCTTTCAAAATGAAGAACCCCTTGGCCTATTTATAGGCTCTCGTCACTGTGCCCGTGCCCGTGTGCACGTGTGGCCAGAACTCAAGCCGTCGGCCACCTCAAGGTGGCTCGGCTCATGCCGAGCCACCCTGAGGTGGCTCGGCCACCCCAGGGGGTGGCTCGGCCTTGGTCGAGCCACCTCAGGGTGGCTCGGCTTGGGCCGAGCCACCTTGAGATGGCTCGGTTTCGGCCGAGCCCCTCCGGGTGTTGTTCGTTCCGTCATTTTCCGTTGTCCGGTTCTTGTGCTTCGTTGTTGATCTGGACTTGATTCGGTTGTGTTTCCGTTGTGTGGTTGATTGACCTGGAAACAACTCGTTGACTTGATTCCAGATTTGGCAGTAAGTCGGGTTTCGGAATTGATCTTGATTCGATCGTGATCCATCCGAGTTCGCTCTTGTTTGGATGACTCGGTGAT